TCCGATCGGACCGCGGTTTGTCCTGTTTCATAGATTGACCGCGGAGAACAGACAATCTAGCTGGACTGAATAGCCAAAATAAATCTAAACCAACCTTCCCAATTAAGATACGGTAGTTTACGAATAAGTCTCCTCTAGGCCTTCGGTACTACATTGTATGCATTCCCGAAATAAGTAGACGATTGTGGTACGTCTGTCCCTGTTATCCGCCACCCGTAAAAGCCTCTGTAGCTCTATTTTGTCCCGGAAGAGGCCGGGCAGACAAGCCTGGAGGCAATATTTCAGATATAGCCGAAGGTAAGCCGAGATCCAACACAAAAATTCCGCCAGTCAAGATTCCAAATAAACGGCGTTTTAATCACATTATACATAAACACTGCTTGTGGCCGTCTACCAGCTGGCGCCCGAGTGTAAATTTGGAGTGTACGACACCTAGATCAACCTAGATAGATACACGGGGTGTTCGAAACCACTGATTAAGTATCTTGCAGGAGGACAACCCCCTCCAATACGAAGAACGTTTTATTTTGCCCGTTTTATGAGAAGTAACAATAAGGTAGATCAGTCCTAAAGCCTATTCAAGGTTCGCCGACTAGTTACGGAACTCACAGAACATCGACTATATTCCACAGCTTCAGTTCATTAGTAAATAGCAGCACTGGTACCTCAAGCTTCGAAGGTAAGTTATTCGAATAATTAGAAAATAGAAGCGGTCCAAGGAAAGAGCCTTGTGGCACACCACTGAGGCAAGGTTGCTTAAATGATAGGCCACGGTCTACCTGTACACACTGTTCTCTACCAAGCAAGAAGAAGTCACCCAGTAAAGGACGCGACCAGCTATACCATAGGAACTCAGCATTTGCGCAAGTCCCAAATGAGGTACCTAGTCAAATGCGTTCGAAAAGTCGACGAAGGGCAGGGCAAATGCGTGGCGGTTATCCACTGCTTCTGCCGGACTTTCGTGAGCTACCAATAGATTCAGCAAACATGAAAATCACTTCCGGAATCCATGTTGTGCATTGCTAACTAGCTTAACTCTAGGCAGATGACTCTCCAATGAGTGTCACCGGTTGTTTGACTACTAGATTCGTCAGACTAAATGGTCAGTAATTTGCTGACAAACTCCTGCCACTATTTTGGTAAGTGACACAAATAACAGCTTCCTTCCATTCCGAAGGTAATTTACAGCTTTAAGATGTTTCTGAAACACGATTGCGAGTGGTCCAGTTAATTCCGCAACCAAGGCATGTAACAGTTTCGGGTCAATTAAATCAGACCCGGACGCTGTAGAAGGGTTCAGCCCTTGCAACAGCCTACAAACTTTCGTCTCCGCTACAACAAATTCAGATGGGCTCCAACCCTCTGGGATCCTGCAAAACGCATCAAAGTCGATCAAAGAGGTATCCCCTAAAAATGGTGATGCACATTGCCCTTTAATTACGCACACCTCATCAAAGTCCATATGCGCATTAGTACCGTTTTCACACAGCAACAGTGGAATTGACAAGCTCGAATCGGAACGCCTATCGACATATGCGAAGAACCTTTCGTTGTTTAACCCTTTCACGAAATCGAACCGAGCATTCCCTAGGAGTTGCTTACACATATTTCCAGCTTTACCGTACCTACCATAAGTACTAGTGGACGGAGTTTATCGGCAAGAGTGCTTTGTATGAAAAAGACATCAGTAAAGAAGCATAAACACGTGGTGTATTTGCTCTTCTTATCGTGAATAATGCGCACCTGTTTCTAGCCAACAAAAACTAGTTTTGTTTGGATCCCACATACACTACCCCAAATTACTAGGATTGCATCACTTTTGAACGGATATAAAACAAAATCCGCTGTATTATGAATCCAAGAAGTTTCGATGTAAATTGTTGCTTGCTGTGAAAACTGCCTGTTAAAACTGTGCATGTCAAGTAAAGTCAATATAAGTTTGCATATTCGAGAGTACATTTTCAGACTTTTAGAATATTCACTGTGGGTCTTTACAAACAACATAACAAAAATACAAAAATTTTTGAATAAAAATTACAAATCCAACTGCATAAAATACACATATGTAAAAGGGCATTCGGAGTGCCGATGTCATTCAATTAATTAATCCCGAACCTGAATCACTTTGACGATTTAGTATCGAATATCTCCATATCGATCGTGCGATAGCTACCTAGGTTCAAACGCTTTCTGAAAACTTTGCGCGATACGCACATCGTTTCGAAATCTATTTTCAAGAATCGACAAAGGTCAGGTTTAGTGAAATTGTAACCAGTCTAACAGAAGCAAGTATCAAACAGTTCAGTTTTAAATGATAAATTAGCAACAGATAGTGTGAGAACGATGCTCTAGTGAAGAGGCACCTGCGGACTTAAAGTAGACAACAGTCTATTTCCTTTTGGGTGTCATTAGCATTTACTCAAGCTGATCGTTTATATAGATATTGTGTGGTTGAAAAGTGGCTCCGCGAAAATTTTTTCGTATGGTTCGTTATAAGGTGTGTCTGCAGTTTCAACATGAATTTACTTTGTAAGTTACCTTTTGTCACTGGTTAGTTATCAAATCTAGGCCAATAGTGCTTACGCGATAGATCTTTCATGCATGAACAGACGATGGTGCACTTCGGAACTTGTCTTAGTGTGCCTATACACCGTCCACCTAAGTCCACTGGTAGCATTGGTAGATAAATATAAATGCAGCAAAATTCTTGAGATCAAGTAATTTACAAATGCCTCTTCTGAATTGATTCTAAAATAACAGCCGTTTTAATGCTCATTAGACTCGGGCTCGTTCAACGGCAATGAAAATTATTTTTTCGGGCCAGTATTCAGCGACAGATTTTGACCAATAAAACTACAACTCAAATTAGTATAATGCACCAGCTTCTTTTTTAATGACTTGTCTATGTTTTGTAGTCAGTAATGTTGCATTGTACTTTTGATTTAACCACCGATTTACAGAACATTTGTGCAGGATCTTGGCGCAGGCCGCTACTCACATTTTTGTCACAACATATTTGAATCTCGCTCGATATTTTTGCCTTGTAGTTGGAAACATCTGTAAATGATATTTTGGATTACATAATGCTTTTCGATGGCTCTGATTGCATGTCTTCAAGAATGGCAGTTGTGGTTGACGGAGGTGATGCAAGCTATATTACAAAAGGCAATCATCTGACAGCGCTTTTCATCTCAGACGAGGATCCGCCCAACGGAAGGTTCAGCGCAGAATATGTGGAAGGTAATCGTGATCAGTTATCAGCGGCGAAATATAGTTGCTCCCAGCCCCTTGCATTGTCTACATAGCTTTGTTATAGACATTTTGGCGTTATATACCTTAGTATGCTTCGTCAGAAGCTGAAGGAGATCCAATTAGAAACGAGACTGTACATCAGGAATCAACTTTTCCCTAATGGCCGCTTTTATCTTAGGATGATGGTTAAGCATAGCGTCTTTCGGAGTAAACAGAGAATGCTGCGTTACCCTAAAGGTACTACTTTCGTGCAAATAACTACAAACGATACGCCACACAGTTTAACGCATTAGTATAATTTTCTACCTAGTATAATTCCATAATTAGTGACCATATGTTACATTCGCTTGCGAGTTGAAAACTGTTGCGCTCATTCGATTCCAATGTATAGCTTCTACCAATCGCATTATGACTTGAACATTACATATCCCTCCGGACCAGCTCAAGGGCTTGTAGTGGGCGCATTTTCCATACATGATTCTATGACAACTGAGATAAATCTGCAAAGCGCAAAAAAGCATATGCGAAAATTTTGTCAACAGGACGTTATTACTAATATAGTAATAAAGTAACCTAAAGTTGTTGTTAGCATTCAAGCCAGTTTTCCTGGGTCGATGATATCCAAGTATCGCCTTAATATTGAGAAAGCTCTTGACAAAACAGTGCTTTCATTCACTATAGCTGTTTTCCAGCATTAAGTAATTTACGAAAATGTAAATAGTTCAACATGAATCAAAAGTTGATTATCAATATTTGGTAAGACAGCCTGATTATCATAAAATTCAACTGTGGCGACGATTTAGAAACAAGCCAGACATTAATTGTTAAAATATCTTTTGTTCATGCCAATATGTATCTGATTCCTTATCGAATAATTTTCAAACATCTGTAACTTTAAAAGCGCAAATTTTTGGCGTTCTTATGAGGATAATTAATAACAGCAACAACACATTAGCAAGCATTACCTAGCTCAATCCATTTTTATATGTTAGATCCAATGCACACCCGTCTGTAGCCTGGTTAGTTTATCGAGCACACGAGTTAATTTTTAAAAAAACTTACAACGACAAAAGAGAATTTATCCACCGAGAGGGGGACGTTTTTCAACAGAAAGAGAACAGGGGTCGAAATTATACCAGTGCAATATAAGTGCACTAGGAATCGAGTAAGTTATATTTTAAATATCAAGGGATTACACACAATAACAGTAGGAACTTATACCGTTGCTTGGAAATATCAAACCATATGACGAAAAATTTTAACACCGAAATATCGCGGTTGCAGGGGACTGCGACAACGATTTATTTTACAAATGTAATCAAAATATTTTTTATTTAAAAACCTATTTACCTAAGCTTCAGAACCGTTGCTCGTTCCTTATTTGTCTTTTTATATAAACATCTATCGTTTTTAAGCTAGTGGTGGGTAGTGAAATGTTCATTTTTTTATTCCTATACAACATTTTAGTAGAAAAACAAAGTAAGCGCTGTAGTTTCGTATGTGATTTTTATGATTTATATTACAGTATTCCAGGTTTGAATTTCATATAACCCTGAATTTTGATATATAATATAAGGGACAGAAATGCTCTCCGATAACGCATATTCTAGGCAAGTTACGTACGAATTCCTAATTTTCTGCTCCACTAAGACGCTCTTATTTTTAAACGGTCATTTGCTGTTTTCCGTTGTTATCCTTACTATCAGGTTATAAAAATTTTAAACAGAAGTTTGCTTTTTGTATTTTAGCCCCAACAATCGCAGGAAATATGAAAGGTGAGTGCAGCATATTTTCATAGTATCATTAATGTTATCACAAATTCCGTATAACTAATCACTAAAATTTTATTAATCAAAACTGCTTCCTAAGTTGATTGTGTGAACGAATAAGCTCCTTTTCTGTGCCCCCCGCTAACCGACGGCTTACGTATGAACTAGCGCGGAGTTCTGAGAGCTTTGTGAATAATCGGTTGTTTACCAATCTTTTAGAAACCATGACATATCGGTCGGCTCCATGTTCAATCCTTGAGTTCGGAAAATTGCAGATGTTTGTAGTATAAGGTATCGATTTTGCTATCTCAATGCCTATTTGAAATTGAAAATCGTCAAAAGCACTCATGAAAGCAAAATCAATCCGATTGGTGTAGTCAATTATATTGCTTTCAATGCAATCAGATGGAAATATCGTTTCATATGTTATAAGCTGGTGTTGGTTTGATGTGGCATATGTTAACATATTTTACCGGTATTTCACGAAATGTCTAATAACCGGTCATTAATTGTGTTCAAAAATAAATTCTGTTTTTCACCAGCAATATTTGAGTACCATTTTCAGCTTGATTGGTTTCATTTTAGAACGCTAAACTAACCTCGGGAAGTAAATGGAAACAATTAAGGCGGCACATAAACCTTCATTTCTAAATCATCTGTGATTAAAACACAGTGTTGCAAAGAGATCTCTTTTCGGCAGTTCACATCAGGCAAATACAACTACAGGACTGTAAAATGCATTAGTAAACTGGTGCAAGTAACAAAGAGGACGGATGGGACGATTTGAACAGTTTTAGTATGTTCATTTGATGCTCGAATCAATTTAATCAGGTGACATCGTGATCGGGCTAACCGACAGCTAAATAACTTGTGTAAACAGAAAGGGAAAAATTACTAACCAAATAAAATTAGTTAATTACGCAAATGAATAGCACCCGGTTAAGCGAGATACTCCGGGGAACCTTATCATCAGGGCCATGGCAAAGTCAAGGGTTGCACGAGCACCCTATGCTTGCATAGCTCTGGTTGTGTTAGCCTGATCGCGATGGCTTCAGCTGTCTGCAGGAGGCGTTTCCTTAGCCCTTTCGGGTATCGCCTCGGTACGGCATAATAGACTTTGAAAGCATCTTTTGTCAGAATCTGGTGCCCACTAAGAATCAGATGCTCCATAATTGAGCTGTTGATACTTCTGTGCATGCCTCTCCGCAATGACCCTGGACAATGTTCAGCCATTCGTACCGACAGACGCCTGGTCGTATGCCCGAGGTACTTTGCACCACAGGTGCAAGTAAACTGGTAAACAATGTACGATTCGGACGACACTGGCAGTCTGTCTTTAAGGCGTTGAGCTATGAAGGGAGCGGTCTCTGCAACTACATGCGGTTGGGCGGCCGGGTAGGTTCTTGCTACGGCATTAGAAAGTCTTCTGTTCAGGAGATCGAAGGCGATATCTCCCTTAAAAGGAACAGTGAGAAACACATCCTTCTTCGGAACCGTTGCTACGGGCTTATCCCGCTCACGGGTCATGGCATGCTTTTTGATGAAAGGCTCTGGGTATCCATTCGCAAGAAGTGTTTTCACAACTCGGTCCTTCTCATCTTTGAGAGTTTCGGGGCTACAAATTTTGGTGGCCCGGTAATTCAAGCAACGTACTAAGTTGCGTTTGTACCTCAGAGGGACAAAGCTCGAAAAGTGTGTGTACTGTCCTACCCACGTAGCTTTGCGGAAGACTCTACGCTCAAGTGATCCGTCCTCGCGCCTCCTCAACAGAACGTCCAGAAAAGCCAGCTTACCTTCATTCTCCATTTCACTAGTGAATTTTATTAAGGGGTGTGCACTGTTGAACTGGTCGAGCAAATGGTTGACATCAATGTGCGAATCACAGATGATGAAAGTGTCATCCATATACCTCCAATAAGAATCAAATGAGGCAATAAGCCTTTGGATGGGACCGCGCTCAAGCTTAGCGAGAAAGATGTCGGCAAGAAGAGGTCCAAGGGGGGACCCCATAGCCACGCCATCGATTTGCCTGTAATAGATTCCGTCAAACAGGAACTGTCTATTAAAGGTACACCGCAAGATTAATATGCTGCTAAATGGGCTTAACTAATAAATGCTTAATTTAGTGTGAACTGTCTTTATTATTTGGCATCTAGCTTGTGGCTAAACATATGAGTAAAGCTTTAGACGGATATATTGAAATATATTGCGCTTGCATTGTGTTTAGTCAAATATCTTGCTAATTCTAGCATCCACTGACGAGAATTTGAAGCCAGTGGCACAGAATCAGTTTCTTTCAGTTTATTATTTAATAATCATAAATCCTTGCCTTTGTGAGCAAGACGCTATTTTACATACCAGATTTCGGTTTTGCTTTTATTATTGATGCTGCTCTGTCAAACTAATAAATGAGTCATTGTAACTTGTAATGATTAAGATCAAATGTTAAGGTGTCGCAATGCCCTTTGGATAGCAAGCAATTCACTCCTAGGTGAGTTCCATCTTACGTAAGTACTTCACACTTGTAGAATAAATATAGTTACGCAATCAGCTAATTTTGCCACTGCATTTGGTTGCCTCTTGCAACATTAAAATTTGATGGGCAAACTTTTTTTGAATGACATTTTGAGGTAAGTATCCATGAAGCTTTAGCTTTGTACGCGTTGTATGGTACATATTTTCGAGTATGGAGGTAGAGTACTTGTAATTAAGTAAAGAAATATAGAGGGTAGCAGATCATCCTCATTGATACTATCAGTAGAGACAGTATCTTATACGTTTTAACTTAAAACACATATCGAGATGTTTTAGACTAGCCAACTCTGTCATGTGTGTTTTATGACATAGCCATGCGACCCAAACCAATTCTCCTACTCTGCAAATATGCCCTGTTTTCGTAGCTCAGAATGCTCTCAACGCCTGTACTGCCATTATGAGTGTAGTAAAACATCTATTTTGCCACGTTTTATTGACATTTTTTGCATGATGTAAAATATTCTGAATAAATACTACCTGACGTTATGATTCTTTTAATTAAATGCCAAAGAAGGCGGGTACTGGTAGCGTTCATGAACCACGCTGTTTCTCTGGATACGTTCACACAAAACGGATTGAAATGGCATTGTTGGTTTTTTGAGAAAATTTGCATATCTTTTGCTAATACAACGATATAAGATAAAGCAATTTTTGGCGTCGTGATTCGCTCCTTGGTAGATCGGATGGGCAACAAGGTCTGTTCAATGAAGTATCTGAATTTTGAACCTTCAAACAGCGTTTGGCGTTTTGCACACTCAATTTAGCAAACTTATGGTAAGAGTACCTCAAAAAATTTCAAATGAGTAGTATTTCCAAACATTTCTAAGATAATATTGGGAAGCAAGACAAGGTGGTTGTGTGATCTTAATTTATGGCATCAGTTTAATTTAAATAACACACTCCCAATGACGGAATTTTATTTTGAATACACAGTGTATACATTATCCTGATTATTCCGGAAGATATTAGGAAGTGAGACAACGCTGATATTTCCCTTAAATTTTACCTGACACATGAGAATCCGGCAGGTTACGGTCAGATTGCCAAAAAGCCTTTCTAAATAGCTTCAATCGTATTCCATTTTTTGTTTTCAGATCAGTGTGGGGCCGCATTAGTTGGCAACCATGGAAATATATCGTACAGTGGAGGTCAGGCAGGTAATGTGTTATGCATCTGGCGGATAACAGTCGATCCAGGTTATCAAGTGAAGCTTAAGTTTCACTATTGGTCCGTAAGTCAATGTGGTCCGGTTACTATATATTTGATTTCGATAAAATATAGTAGGGTAAAGTTATATGCATCTAGTGAAAACTAGTGGGCTATTCGTTTGAGCATTATTAAATGCCAATTATGCAAGAACGGAAAGGATTTAACTGTTTACAAATGCAGTGGTAAGGTCGGAGCAGCTGTCGCTATAATTATAACCCATCGGATACACGTTATTTTATTTCATTAGTTTGGTAGGCTCTTCCATTTTGTTATTTTTAGTTAGAGTACTTGCATAAGCTACTGATAATACATAAGGTTTTTAACTTCTTTGATTTACGGACCTATTATAACTGCATCTCTTTACTTACCGGAATAGTCCTCATACCATAGCAGTGCTCTTTAGTTTTTTCTATGTGCATATGTGCATCTGAAATAATGCATTCATGAACTAACTCTCCGTGATTTTTACTTGACTCGTAGTTATCAATTTTACTATCAAAAAGTAGAGCATACCTTGATAAGGTGGTGAGCGTGATAACATAGTAGAGGAACGTTTGTTCGTGCTGATCTAAAGTAACGAGTAAATAAAGCGCCTGCTTTAACTTATCAGTAAGCTCTGTATGACATACCCGTAAAACAATTGCCGTGCGCAAATTAATGCTTATTTTAATAGTACGCTATGTTTAGTTTGGATTGTGTAAAAACCACCCTGCTTGGCTTGGTGTGTTTCTGAAGTTGGACAGGTCTCATTTCATCTAGATTTAGGCATTACCATGATGCAACTTAAGAACGAGCAGACATTAATTTAAACGTTTTCTGTTGGCTAAAATTCACAACGCATATTTTAAGACAGTTTTACAAATCAAAGTGTGAATGAGTTGAGGAATATCCAACAGCACACGTTACTAAATTCACCGTCAGTCTTCATGAAAACTAGTAGTTTTGCAGGTTCAGCCCACAAAATTTAGCAAGCGTAAATGCTTTATTTTCAGTAATACTTTTGTGCTTCACAATGTTTATGTATAGAGTGCTCTTAAAACTAATTTATTTAAGGATTGCGTTAAGCAATCTGATCAAAATCCCCATTACAAATAGTTTCTAGTTTTGATAACCCTCCTCGGAACATGTATTAGCCTACCAAGTTCAAGTTTGAAGGAAAACAAAGTTAACGTACGAGCAGATTTGCCTTTAGATAGATCTCAGAGTATATTTTACACAAACAGTGAGCGGGATTATTAGACAACTATGTATCCATCTAACGAGGGCGTATCTATTGCATTTATTTTCTTAGACGTATTCTAGTGTCTTGATTTGACCAACAAATTTGACGTATAAGCTAAATACAGTTTTAGTTGAATTTTGATCAAACAACCTACATTATGAAACAGATAATAGGGTTGCATATAGATACCGTTTAAGAATATCATCGAAAAGTCAGGGCACGCATAGCTTAATTTTTAAAACCGACGTCCAGGCACATTAAACAGCCAGTCAACAACCGACAGCAGAAAATGATACATAAAACCCTATTATAAATATCAATTTTTTAAGTGCATATATAGAAGGCGTTTTCATAGCTTTACATCCTAATGGGAAGTTAGCAAGTGATTATTAAACTACGATGTACTTTGATATAATACTGATGGTTATCCTATTGATCAATGCGTAGACCTCATTTCTCATTACTCGGCTGGTCGCATTATGCGCTCCGTAAATTGGCATGTTTGAATCTTCTATCAAAGCTGGTGGTAAATTTCTGAGACTTTTTGGATTAGCATAAATAATTCGTTATTTACGTGAGTTGTCACACTGTAGACTTACTACGGTATATGCATAATTTATGTTGACAATTCATTTGACATTGGAACAGTGGCCAATGTGATTCATGCGCAAAACGTTGAGACAAACGCAAAGCTGCATGAAAAATTTAATTGTCGTCAATAGTTATAGTTTGTCCTTAGTAGCTTGAAAACCATGAGTTGATAAATAAAATTGTAAAATATTAAGATATTAAAGCAAAGGCTGAAAGTTTTGTTAGGATTTCATTGCAACTTAGAAACGAGCATTCAGCACGCCTGCATGGACATCCTTTTTAGTATACATTTTCTGGGTCTTGGATACGCATACTGGATGGAAGTACTTGCGGTGCCAATGAACTGTTACATGTAAAAAGCAAGAGCCTTAAACTTCCAAAAGAAATTGTATCTACTTCGAATGTATTGATGCTGATTTTCGGGTCACCAACCAAAGAGCTGGACGAGGCATTTGCGGCGTCATACACCAGCGGTAAATTTTGGAATTTTCTTACACTTTTTATACAAGTTTCTGCTAAAAGCTGATGCGAAAGGTGGGCTTGATAAGCAATCACACCAACTTATTTCTAAGTGTTTGTCCAGTCCAATTTCAACTATGAGTACTTCATTATTATATATCAAGTGAAAGTTATCCTAATGCAGCAACTAACAAGTAATTCTCCGTTGTATTCATTCTTTGTGTAAGAATATAACAAATCGCAAATGCTACATGATAAACCTTAAATACAAGCAACATGGGGACAATCCATGTATTCGATGCACCTAAAGACCTAAATTTAAATTATTAATAAATTATTTGAATAAATATAGAGGACACACAAGAAAAGATTAGTTGCTACTCATAAGGAAGAGCGTGCTTTAGTTATTTTTAGTTTTTGACCTATCAAAACTTAATATTGCAAACCGATGCGTTTAATTGCTGTTCCCATTGTTGCATCACCTACCAAAGCTAAGGTTTCCGTTAAACGGATTCCAATGGGAGCCATCCCGAAATGAAATCGACATCCCGGAACCTTAGGAAAAATATGAAAAGCAGATTGCTACGAAACATTTTGAAGGGACAGTCAAGGTTATCAACAGAACATACTAATACTGACGGCAAAAGGGAGCATTTGGTATCTGTGCATTATAACTGCCAAAAAGTGAAAAGTGTTGGCGGTTGCTTTTTGGTATTTGGCCAAATCCGTACGGTACCTACCAAATAAAAGATGTAAATGTATTAATAAAGACAGATTACTCCAACATCTAACCCTATCTAATAACCATGGTATTTATATCAACATCGATCATAGTTGTTAAATTCCACCTGGAGTTTCTCATCTCATTACAAATACATTAGTTAATCGGAAAGTTGTCACATGTGAAACGCAAATGTAGGTAGAAAACATAATACGAAAAATAATGATGGGTTCCTTAGGTACCAAAACAATGTTCACATATGTTTCAATAATCAAAACGGTTGATGTTATTCGTGGGTACCAAGTAAACCACCAGTTTAAACGTGAGATACTTATAGAAAAAATAATGGTATGTCATTTGGTTTAAGCCAGTAGAGTACACTAAGGCAAACAAGGCAGATTGTGGTAAGAACCTCTTACAGATTGCCCTTTGTAAACATTTGCTTCACCGCTTGTTCATGATCCGTTCATATTTAGGAAAACTCTTCTGTGTGTGTATATTAGTTAAATGGACAATATCCTATAGCTTGTAATTTAGATTAGTTGTTCTTTGCCAAGTTGGCCAGTTTTACAGAACACATCCGTTCTTTACGTTCTCCTGTGACTTAAAGTTTAGCGCTAACTTAATATTCTCGGAATAGCATATGCAAAAACTGTGATATACCGTGCTCCATATAAGTAATTCTTGTGTAAGCATGCCATGTATATCAACAAATAATCTTTATCCGTTTGTGTTCATAATACCGGGCCACCAGAATTTGTGGTCCAGAGCAAGGTTGAACCGGACGGTCATGCTGTCTTAATATTTTAAAGAGTGATCCATTCCATACCCACTGTTTAAAATAACCAATTTTCTTGAAGACGTTTTGTTAACAGCAAGAAACTAAACTTTCAAAGTATGTTGCTTACTGGACAAAGTTTGATTGCCAAATGGAAAGGACTCGCTTTCCGTAAAGTAACACACCAGGAACTATGGTTTAAGAGAGCTTGAAAGTCGTTCTATCTGTTATTCCGCGTCTTGAACGCAAAAATTTAGCTTACACATATTGTTTTTCTATCTTTTATATGCAATACGGAGCAAGACATTTGCGGTATACAATCAGAAGTGTTTTGTAACAGGCCACAGAAGATTACGCTAAACAAATAAAACTTGGATATGTTACAAACATGCACACATCCACCCTTGTGCACTTGATAACTACCTGATATATATTGCTTCCCAAGGATTCATTTAAAGTATTTTTACGGGGCAGCATTGCGGCTAACGTGGGCGTGAAAACACCTGTTTAAGTCGACTGAGGTCAATTACTTCAGTTGCTTCTGTTACAGATGCATATCAAATTTATCTTATTTGCTCAATTACTTGTGAAGAGAGGTAGGAGATAACAAGTAGTTTGTTCGACATCTAGCGGACATCTAACGTTATTTATTACCTTAGTCAATCGTAATTTATATCACATTTGCTAAGCTAGAAAATTCATGTTTACCACAGAGTCTTTAAGGAATAATTCGAAAAGAAGTTACTTTGCAAGCAATTAGTGGCAACAGAGACAAATATTGCTCTAGTTTAACTATGAAATGCATCGTTTTAGTTAGTTGTAGGCAGTTTAAAAGCACTTGCACTGTCCTGCTTTACCTCAAAACATTTATCAATAAAATACTTTTTGCCTCAATTTCAACATGGATATATTATTCTTACCTTTCCTTACATTGACATTAAGTAGAATGAGGCACGTTTTCTCCATTTTTGGGCAGAAATAAGGAGACTATATAAGCACACTCTCAATGTTTATTTCTCAAAAGACATCTAATACAGCGCATGGTTTAAGATTTCCGCCGATTGATGATGCGTTGAAAATTTTGTCTCAGATTCATAGGTTAAAATCCATGCCATCATAATACATTGCTCATAAAAGCGACGTTGTTTGTGAATTCTTTCCTTATCCTTAACTTAGTGGATAAACCTATGCTTACATAACAAAATGGCACTAATTCAAATTGATTTCTGAGTTCTTACACAAAGTTATGCTGTTATATCTTTTGCCAAAATATATAAGCAGAGCAGTAGTTGTAAAGCAATTAATTTAGTCATTTTGAAATACATTACATTTCTCATATGGGCTTCAAATAATAGAGGATGAAATCTTCAATTATAAACATTGTTTATTGATAAGTCTGGAAGCTAGTTACGAGGATTGGCTAAGTAAGCATGGGTAGGATTTTGACTAAATTGAACATATTTGGTGTCCTGACATCAACAGAAAGAAATTTTAAGAAGCAAAGTTTCCTTGGAATTCTTAAGTCGGAAACCGGAAATGCAACAAGCATGCTAATTTCTACTCTACATTGCTCAGTTTGTAAATATAGTCAGAAACTACTGAAAGGTGCTGGCTATGTCGACCACGTCTAATATACTTACGCAGCTTATCACTGTAAAAACGCAAATTAGAGATTAAAGTACATCTGATTAATGTGCTCTGGGGCAACCAAAAAGTGGTGGCTGCATGTAAACCTAGCCCTTAAACAAACAGACAGCTTTTCGTCAATGAAGTTATATTTTTAGCAAAGTTTGTGTATTCCGCCAATGAAGCGGTAAACCAGATAAAGTTAACTTTTGCCAGCATGTTGGTTAGTCAGGCAGTAGCCAGTATGTAGTACCGATGTTTCGCTACCGCGCAACCATTATCAGTCAGGCATGGGCTATGGATACAGCGATGTTTAACCGGTCACCTACGTAAACTATAATCCTCTACCTCAGGATTACATGTCAGGCATGTGATACTTAAGGGCACAGGCCGTCATTGGTCAGCTACATCAATTAACTTAATATAAAACGCGCCATCAACGCTGCAACGAGCAAGCTCAACGTGATTTTGTCAAGCAGTTTATTCTATTTTAGGTAAGAAACAAATAAACACTAAAAGTCACTTCGTAGCTAATTCAAGTGGATATAATTCTTCCGCGTTTGAGATATAACGGTCAGTTTTGTTCAATTCCCATGAATAGACAACCAGAGCTCAAAAAGCTATGTGCTCGGGATTCTGCCAGACCTCTATGTTTGAAACAAGTGGGCAGTTAAAATTATACTCTGTAAAATTGTGAAGTTAACCAAAATATTAGTGTTAAATGATCCATTTAGATTGTTATCACATTAAGAATCATGTCATTTAGTTAGAATTGTCAAATACCATATTCAAATCGTAACGTTACTTTCTTCTACACAAATCTTTTTTTACAAATAGCTATGATTCCACGACTAAAATGTGAGTTAAATTCGAGACAATTAAACGTGTGATCCACGCTTCCCGCTAATATATTTGACTGAAGTTTGCTTTAAGGTTGTACACATATATTCTGATTTTTTTAACATATTAACAAGCTTATTTGTATAAATCTCTATATGCTAACATTGTTCATATTTCAGGGCAATTGTACCATCTCTATTGTTTTAGCCGCATCATTGTTTATGGAACCAATCCTCCTCTTCGGACTGTGCGTACTCGTCATTGCTACTCGGCAGTTACAAACAGATGCGTTATTTTTTCCTAGCGGACTTCAAACACTCCAACATACCTGAAAATTAATTACACATTATGTTTATGTTTCTATGCTTATGAAAAACTGGTACGTATGCCTTTTTGCTGTAACTTCATTTTGCTGCTCTGTGATCTAAAAATCTGTTTACTCGACACCTGTTTGACACTAGTTAATGCTCGCGATTTTAATTATTATCTGCTTCATCATTCAAGCTAGATATCTTTTGAGATAATCCGCTTGCCTTAGCTGAAAGGCAGAATAAACTCACTTAGTTTACTGCTCAAGATGTACTACAGGCTCAATCGTGCAAATCAATAAGATGCCTTAAGGCAATAGCTGAGAGTGACTAAATCCACTATTCAAAATTCCGAAGCATGAGTGGCTAGAGCAATCACCTCAGTGACGTAGAATAAAAAAACATATCCATCGAACTATCTATAAAGAGTAGAGCCAAAACAAAAGCAAACAATATATTCATCATCATCATCATCATACAGGTTAGCTAGAGGTGAAGAACACCTCAGATACTGTGCCGCAATACAAATAAAAAATGAGAAAAAAAACAACACTTGGTGAAAGCTGGCTGAGCTACCGGTAACGGATGGGCATCGTTCCGGTAAGCTACCAGCCGGCTGCTGTGCACCCAAAAAAAATTATTATGCAAAATTATATAAGGCTAAGTAATGAGATCGTGGTTGGAGGGGGAGGTTAAGAGGGATGGGGTGGGACAAAGAAACTCACAGCACGAACGCCACTGAGGTCGCCTCCTAGCCATATCAGCAAGTGTGTCCAACCAAACGTGTTCATCGTCTTTCGGACCCCAACCAGGGAGCCGAAACGCTCCAACCGAGGCCAGCTCAGAAGTGAGGGTCTTCATTCCTCTCGACCAAGTCATCGCTTGACCACCCCTCCTCTTCTTCCATCTACACCCCCGGCGCGCAAACAACACACGTCGCGGAAGTCGGTGGGCTGGCATGCGTAACACGTGGCCAAGCCATCGGAGCCTGATGCGTGAAATAACGGTGCTGAGCAGTTCATTTCCTTTTCCTGTGCCATAAACAAGGCGTCGAACACGGTCGTTGCTCACGCGGTGTTCCCACCAGATGTGAGCTAAATTACGAAGGCACCGGCGGTCGAACGTAATTAGCCTCTGCAAGTCCGCTGCTTTAAGCGGCCAGGTTTCACAACTATACAATAGGGTCGAACATACTGCTGCATTGTACACTCTAATCTTCAGGGCAAGAGTGATGTCGCGCCGGCGCCATAAGTGGCGAAGCTTAGCAAAAGCGCCCCGAGCTTTTGCTATACGATTCGTGATTTCATCTTCAATCCCACGGGCGCTGGTGCAACTTCCCAGGTAGTTGAATTTTTGAATGACTTCTAGCTGATCCCCACCAAGGGTCAGTGTAGGAGGCGGTCCAGACCAACCTTGGAGAAAAGCTTTGCACTTCGAGGGTGCGAAGCAAAGCCCGAAGTGACGGACAGCCAGTGTTAATCTGTCCAGTGCCGCTTGGCACGTTTGTGAGCTGCCACACATCAGGGCAATATCATCAGCATACTTTAAATCAAGAAGTCTTTCTCCTGGGAGTAGCTCCGCACCTTCTAAGTCGTGTCCTGTAAACGCGATTTCCATGACTTCGTCAAGGGGGAAGTTGAAGAGGAAAGGTGACAGCGGGCATCCTTGTTTCACACCGCTGGAGATATTAAAGGGCGACGACAACTTGCCGTAAGCCCTCACTCTGCTTGAGCTACGCGCATCTAATGCTCGGATAATATTCAAATATTTCTTAGGTACACATTTCCTGAATAGACAAAACAATATATTACAGGACGATGGTTTTTTATTTAGTATCCCCTTACTGTAGCAATCAGATAACATTTGAATCACAAATATACTAGAAAGAAGATTCACATTACCTTCAATGCACACAAAACTACATTAAGCAACAAAAAGTTTTATGTGTTAAACTGAAGGTTGCACCGCTACTTACAAAAAGCTTGTAGAGGATTTACCTAGAGATTTTGAGTTAATTCCCAGTCAGAATATCGAGTTGGAGAAGTTTCCAAAATAATCGAAGTGATGTCCTCGTGTGCAGAAGCGGTAATTCCTACGCTGGTGCGCAAAAACAATGTAGCAAATACATGAATAAAAGCAATCAGCAAAATGGATATTTAATGTAAATTACGGACATCAATTATAATAATCTAAATTCAATGCAGACGAATCGATCAAAAAATATCCGGCGGAAGAGCAGTGAGTGTAAAAATGACGATATAAAGGATGGTTCACGGTTTAATAAACAGTCAAAAAGTAACTTAAAAAACGCCCATAAGATAAAAAATAAATCCAGGCAGCACAAACACAAAAAAGGAAAATAAAATAAAAAAATATTATTTAAAAATACATGAAATCGGCACGCAGCCGAGCGAATGAAAATGCAAATAACAACACAAATATAATTACGAAAGTAACGTTCCTTTGTTTGTTAACCACAAAAAGAAACCAAAAGCGAACGCGCAAAATATTTCGTATTCGATTTTTTTGCTAGAACAGATAACTATGTATGAGCGATGAGGTTTGCAGGACAGAATACAGACACACAATTGATAAGAAAAATTAAACTTCAACAGTTCTGGTGATGTGCATCACATGGTCAGGTGATTGGCGACAAGTGGGATTGATGAGCGGGAGCAACTTGCTCTCATGTGGGTGATGACCATGGAAGTTGCAATGTTTGCTTGAACGTCTTTTGGATGCAGAGATTAGGTTTCATCAGTCCTCTGCTTACTACTGAAGCAGTAGCAAGCAGTCGTGTTGTGTTAACTAATGGGTCGAATATGACGGTATTTTATACAACATTTCAAATGCACTACTTTTGTCATTGTTTTTCCCAATGGCAACCAGATGGTTGGTAATTGCACTGAAATCAGATCTGTCTATGTGGTTGATGGGCGAATCCGAGAGATGCCCTTGACTCGATTTCCTAATCGCCTAGCCGTGTGTCCAATTTACCTAGCTCCATATTATCAGGTGAATCGGTAGATTACATTTGATTGGATTTGAGCAATAAGTTTGTCTTTGTATCTAGGAACGACCAACGATTCGCTCGTATAGACCACATTCATTCGAGCTGCCTTGGACGTATTCCTGCAAAAGGGCAGCAATCTTCGTGTATACATCTAAGCCGCCTTTTCACCCATAAAAAGGGATCTGAAGGAACAACTGTTTCCGCCCAACCGTTTACACTGTTGGCTTTGGGCCTTTAGGCCTTAAATACGTGCTTATAAAGCGTTTTTTTATAACCATTCTCAAGTAGTGTGTACTTGATTCGTTCCAGTTCCTCTGCAATCGTGTCTTCGCTACAGATCTTGTACGTAAAGGTCGGTCAACTTATGGATCAGCGTTCTTTTCCGGCTGAGGGACACAAAGTTATGAATGTATATACTGCCTTCTCCAATATGTCTTTCTTTATTGTCCTAACTGGATTGGTCCGTAGGCTCTCTCCCTTAGATTTACATCCCAAAATTTAAGATGGTTGTTGTTTTCTTCGGCTGTAAATGAGGCATTGGGGTTTGCGCTGTTGAAACATTCGACGATGATTTGCTATGCGGAAAAATTCGTCTATATAACTTTGATAGAACTTGAAGATTGAAATGATCAATTACAGCGGTTCATTCTCCAGCATCTAAATGTGGAGATTTGCCAATAGCGACCCGATAGGTAATCACTCCATCACTCCATCCTTCTGCCTATATAATTCACTGGTTAGCTGAAATTGGACGTTGTATGTGCATCTGAGCTAGAGCTGCTTTAGCTGAAGAGTTGGGATCTCCATGCTTATCTTTTGTCGGTTAATGAAGGCGCAAATATCTCCGGTTTCTAATAGCAGCACGTTGATAAACAGCGCTACGACGTACAGGGATAGCGTTCAATAATCCAGTCTGTTTGTGTTTTTGACACCTTCGACCAATTGTAACGTGTCACTCAGAAAGTGGGGGACTATCTTTTAGTTAACATTATGCAGTATCGATGCTATCCATTTGCGATGTTGTGATACGCCGTGCTTATCATATCTGGTATTAGTCCCAAATGTATGATCAGTTTGTGCATTTTTGGGAGAAAATAGAGACTTGAAATAATGGAGCCAATGGGTCTGAGCTTTTATACTTTTATTTAATCGTATAGCAGTCCATCGCTATTGATTCCAAGAGTTTGGTCAGTTGGGTTTCCGTGCTTGTTGTTTTTTTCTTCAATTACTCAAACTTTATAGATATGGAGGCGTCCGCGAGAATCGGTTTCATCTTTTGGAGATATTCTTTGCCATCCATGTTCACGGTTCCCGACCCTCTATCTGGGCTGATGTTGCTTATCTCTTCATTCCGTGTAAGTTCGGTAACGGCTTCTAAAAGTGCCTTTCTCGGTAGTCTGCATAATGTTATGGTAAATCTCGGACCCTGAAAAGATAATTTGACTATGTCTGTGTTAATTCGTTCGAGTTCTTTAAAAAGGAAATATACTCAATACCTCGTTCGACTGTGGACATTTTCAAACTGGGTTTTATTTGCAGGCGTTTCTCTATGGTCGGTGGATGACAGAAGTACATTACAAAATGTTAGAAATCTTCCTGTATGTATACCAATGCGCAAGTTCTGATCAAGATTTTGGAACCGCCGCTACGTCGTCACGTGTCTGGGACCTTAAATACCTCACGGAAACCTGGTTGCACTCAGATATTACCGATACTAAGGTCGCGAAATATGATCTGTCCTCCGAAATGATCGACTTAGCATAGTCAGCTGTTAATGTTATACTATCGCAACTACCTGCAATGTGAACCGATGGCTGCTCCGAAAACGTTGACCATAGACCAATTCTGGTGCATTCTGCGGCTGAGATGCACAGACAGTTGCCTTTTGGCCGCTGTTTATCGTCCACTGTCCACCCCGGAGATGGACTCCCGACTGGCATTATCCTTTGTAAGGGAGTTACGAATACAACGCAGTCATGTTCT